TAGAGGCATCACCTGGGATGCTAGAGGCATCACCTGGGATGCTAGAGACATCACCTGGGATGCTAGAGACATCACCTGGGATGCTAGAAACATCACCTGGGATGCTAGAAACATCACCTGGGATTCTAGAGACATCACCTGGGATGCTAGAGGCATCACCTGGGATGCTAGAGGCATCACCTGGGATGTCAGTGCTATAGCAAGTGATGCCTCTAGCATCCCAGGTGATGTCTCTAGCATCACAGGTGATGTCTCTAGCATCCCAGGTGATGTCTCTAGCATCACAGGTGATGTCTCTAGCATCCCAGGTGATGTCTCTAGCATCCCAGGTGATGTCTTTAGCATCCCAGGTGATGTCTCTAGCATCCCAGGTGATGTCTCTAGCATCCCAGGTGATGTCTCTAGCATCCCAGGTGATGCCTCTAGCATCCCAGGTGATGCCTCTAGCATCCCAGGTGATGCGTCTAGCATCCCATGTGATGCTACTAGCATCCCAGGTGATGCCTCTAGCATCCCAGGTGATCCTACTAGCATTCCAGGTGATGCACACTTTTCTTTACCCTAAGAGGACTAAGCGGACTATTCAGTGGGGAAGCGCGTTTCCCCACTTAACACACCTTTTATTTCAGCGTCGTGGCGTGGGGGCGCGAAGCGCCCCCCGAAGAGCCGCGACCCATGCACGTCTCTGTGTACACCATTATTCCTACCCTTAGTCCCTTTAGTCCCTTAGTCCCTTTAGTCCCTTAGTCCCTTAGTCCCTTTAGTCCCTTAGTCCCTTTAGTCGCTTAGTCGCTTAGTCCCTTTAGTCCCTTAGTCCCTCTGTTTTGGTAAAAAAGAGGTGTTATTTTTTTTTTCAAAATTCAAATTTAAATAAAAAAACCCATAGACTCGAAAAGAAATACCGAATTCAGTTTCCAAGGTGTTCATTTGATAGAGCTCATCAAGATCTAGTTGAAAAGTTATATGGTATACTTGGAAAGTATTCATGGGTGAATCGTCACAGGTGTTTGCGCACAAATCTAGGAATCGAGCCCAGAAATGGCCATTTTAGGGGGAAAAGAAGCATCGAATCGAGCTCCAAAGGTGTCCATTGGATAGAACTTGTCAAGATCTACTTGAAAAGTTGGTTGATATACTTGGAAAATATCTCTGGGCGAATCGTCACAGGCGTTTCCGGAAAAATCTAGGAATCGGGCCCAGGAATGGCCATTTTGGGATGGGAAAGAAGCATCGAATCGACCTGCAAAGGTATGCATTCGATAGATCTCGTCAAGATCTATTTAGAAAGTTGGTTAGCATACTTGGAAACTGCTTCTGGGCGATTCCTCATTGGCGTTTCCGCAATATATAGGAATCAGGCCCTGGAATGGCCATGTTGGGGGGAAAGAAGTATCGAATTGAGCTCCAAAGGTGTCCATTCGATAGAGCTCGTTGAGATCTACTTGGAAAGTTGGATGATTTTGTTGGAAAGTTCGTCTGAGCGAATCGCGACAAGGATTTTGTGAAAAACCGAGTTTTCGGTGTGGTTTGAAGGTTTTGAAGAGGAGAGGAGTATGGAATGGAGCACCAAAGATGTGTATTCGATAAAGCACGTCAAGATCTACCTGGTAACTCATTGTTTAAGTTGGAAAGCATTCCTGAACGAATCGCGACAAGTTTTTCCAGAATTGATTGCATTTTACACTGTTTTTTGATGGTATTTTGAGATTTTCTCAGTATGATGTGGGGCTAGAGAAAAATGAATGATGTGGTTGGATGGAGCTCGTCGGGTTCTACTTGGAAAGGTGTTTGGGGCGAATCCTTTCAGGAAATACTCGAATCCTGACCTAAGATATCCTACGTCAAAAATACGGATGCAGTTTTCCACGAAATCTCAATCGGAAGATAAAAAACGAATCTTTCAATTTGCAGAAAAAAATATATAAGGTTGTTCCCGGTTAGAAATAACCAAATTTTGTTCATACTATCTTCGCATTTAAGTTGTGAAAATTTCGTCGTGGAAAGGGTCAGAAAAGGATGAAATTCCGTAACGGAGGGTATTTTTAGCTTTTTTATGCGAGTCAGTTGTATTTGCCAAAAACAACCATATATTCTGAAATCTTGCACAAAGCTGAACAAAATTCATTCAGAACATTTTTCTAAAGATTGCTGTCTTTCTTTATAAAATCGTAATCTCCAGACCTCCGTTAAAATTATTTCCATTCTTGAAATTTCGTAACGGATGATATTCTGCTGAGTAATTCCGACATTATAAAAGGGAACTCGGTGAATTTACTGGTATGAGACCTGAATGGTCTTCATTTATGGTGAAATTTTCATGGAGTTTGCTTTTGCTATGACGGAGATATACACGTTGCAATATAGAAAAATAAAATTCTGTAACACTGGTTTTACCCATACTGAGAACTATCGATACAGACGACAGAACAAATTACTAAAAGAAAGACTTAGAAAGTGAATAATGAAAGGAAGAGAAAGAAACAAGAAAACAACGAAATAATAGAATAAAATGAGCAGATGAATGCTGTGTACATACTTATTTAGGTTTTTCTAGAAATATTTATCAACATGCGTAAAGTAGTTGATAATGACGTAAACGAAGTGTACCCTAAACATATGTTAGGATTTTATTCCATTAAGTTGGGGCATTTTTTATGTCCTCAGATTGTCAATATTACATTGTTTTCTCTTATAATAAAACCTTTTTCATGTTTCTTCACCAATAAAAAGAGGAATAGACACCGGTAGCCCATTGAACCATTGATGCTGAAGATAGTAACCGTCTAATCAGATCCTGTGGAAATTGGTAACAAAAAAGATACTGCGAGTCGCAGTATATTCTGGCAAAATTTTCATCGAAAAACAATTTTCCAAACCAGATTAAATTTTATTTGTCTGGCAAATGAAGTTTATTTAACGTAAATAGTTCTTTTTACTTTTAATAACTGCTTGTCAGTTTTACTCAGATGATTTCCGTACACCCTTCAATGAAGAATTTTTAATTTTATTCAACTCATTATTTTCTTTTCCCGCTATAAAGTTTTTTTTTAAATCAAATTGCATAAATTTTTTTGCTATTTTCATTTTATAAATGTTATCAGAAACACAAGTGACGAGTGATACAAATTTACATCAACATGAATCAAAATCATCATTATTACAACTTGTTTCATCTATAAATTCCGATAATCTTTTAAAATATCGGTCAGAAAAAAATATATTAACAAAGAAAAGAAATTATAATAATTTACTTCGAAATTCTCTAGAATCGATTAATGATAATTATCAAAAATGTTCAAATAATAATTTAATTATTACACATTTTCCCATAGCAAATACACCACAAGGTAAAATCTCTATTACAATATTGATATCAGTGATACTTAAGCAAATCATAAAATTTTGATTCGTGAAATATTCGTTCAGATTTATTTCATTCATAGATTATCATTTTTAAAGTATTTTCTCGAAGAAATTAGTTTTTTATTTTTTTTTCTCAAGATTCAATACTAATCACTAAAACATCATCGTGTCAATTACCAGCAGTTCCTAAACAAGTTGATACATTTATTCATCGTCTTGTCAATAAATTTTTTTTAATGACAAATAAAAATCCAAATGAGAATAAAATTTATCCTAAGAAACAGATTAAACGAAAACAAATGAATAAGAAATTAAATACAAGAAATTTATCTGATGATAGTCATACTTTTTTAAATATTATTTCAAAAAAAAGACGAAGAACACAACGAAAACATTCAAAAATGATAACAAATAATAATCAACATTGTACTGTATGTCGAAAATATCGAAATAATTTTTCAGTGGTACCAATAAATAAAATACAAGTTTCACCTACAGATTATACTGCGGAATCATCTAAGATTACTAATACTAATGCGATAGCAAATCGAAAAACTTGCTCAATGTTAACGAGTGAACCATTGATATCATTATCTAAGATTCAATTAGAAAAAATACGAACATTAAATGAATCACAATGTCAAGCAATTGCTTCAGCAGTTGAACGTATTTTTGATATATTAATTTCAAATTATCAACTTGTATGATGAAATAATTATTTTCTCTCGTCTATTTTGAAAAAAATGAAAATAATATTCAAATTACAATAATACTACGAATTGCTTGTGTTGTATGAAATCTTACATGTGTCTCATTTTATTCTGAGTTCTTGTAGAAATGACATAAGTCATGAAAAAAAAAAGAAAAGTTCTATATACAGGTCTATTTTCTTTTAAACAATGCATTTCAGGTATCTCTGAATGATGCCTAGTAGCAGATTAAATAGTCCAACATCTTTCCTACAACTAATACACAGATCAAAGATCCAATTCATAATGTGTAGTTAGTGTGTACTGGTATCATTGTTCGCTGACGCATTGAAAGATACCACTGCAAAAAGAACGTATTTCGATAGAGTTAGTGTCTTAATGCTGTGGCGAACATAATTACCAGTGTAGATGACTCATTATCAGTATTTATACCAATACTACAAATTCTTAGATTCGAACAATTTTATTTTTTTCATCGACCTAGCCTGCTATATTTTAAAACCGTCTGAATCAATTGGATGAAATAGTTAGCTGTCATATAAATATCAATCTAAGAATAATATGAATTAGACAATTATTTTGCATAATAATTGTAACAAATTACTGATGAGGAGACCTATTTTGATTTCTATCATAGATATATTTTTCCATAAGATCTCCGAATAACATTTTATAAAATTTCATAAGACTTTTAACATAAGACTCGATGTAATATGATGGATGACTATACTTTTTATTTTTATCAACGTCATTTTTTACTTGAAAGGCTTGATAATTGAAAAAGTATGATCATGTAACATCACATCGTTAAATATATTAATCTAAATTGCATTTTTTTTAGTTCTTTGATAGGATTTCATATCACATGTATTAATCTACGCATGAATCAATTCAAAAGATATTCTTATCAAAATATCATGCAGTAGTTTTTTTTTATCATAATAAATTCATTCATGCAAGCATTCGAAAAATTTTTTTCAATAGATAAGACAAATTAAAATATTTTATCATTCAATCCATAAACCAATACATGAGCAATATATATATATTCATTCAACGAACAAACAAATAAGCAGACACACAACGATCAGGAAAAAAAAATATTCGTTCATATAATAATAGATAAAAGGAACAAAAAAAGGCCAGTGAGAATTAGAGATTCATTCAATATGTCACAACAGAGATAAAATGGAATTCATATGTAAATCTGACACGAACAAAACAAAATAAAACGAAAAAAAAAAGAAATCATACTCAAAGAATGATGCACGCGGCAGATTTTGTTGATGGAACATTCGAATCATAATGATAATTATAAAGAACATTTGAATTCATATCTAAAGGATGATCATCAAGTTTTGTTTTTTTAGTTGTTTTTGTACTGTTCTGTTTTTCGACAACTACTTCAGAACCTAGAATGAAAGAAAAACACATAAATCAAATAATATTTCAAATATTATTCAAATATAAATACTTCACATGCAATAGCTCTACGGAAGATAATAAACTAAGATATGCGAAAGTGCATAATGGCATAGGAATGGACATAGAACGAATAACGCACGCAGATATATGTACAATAACAACAACAACAACAACAAAAAACAATGTGGGATATGTGAAATATAGATGATTGTGTAGAAAAAAAGAATGAAAACTGTATAGATAAATTTACTCACAATATACTTAATTTATTCTAAAGTACGTAAATTATAGAATAAAAAAATTCTTTATAAAAGAAAATAAAATTGATTTCTTACTTCTAGCTAATCGTTGTTCTTCTTCAATTTGTTGTTTAGCATCCGCTATAATGGATTTAATCTGTTCAGGAGTAAAATCTTGTGTTGAGATTCGTGTCGCTGAAAAATCCATTTTGATACGATTTACTTCAAATAAAAGAAAAACAATAATAAAATATTTGATAATTACAAAATAACTAATCATTCTATGATATACAATACCATTTGGTGGTGCTATAACAACTGGATAAAAACCACCAACTGGTTGATGAAGTACTCGAACATAACCAACTGTACGATTAACAGTTAAATAACATATTATTAATGGTTCTTTATTTTTTCCAATAAAACTTTCTTCTTCTGATGGAAATAAAACACCCCAACCTATTTTATCACCTTGTTTTAAATATTTTGCAGCTTAAAACAAAGAAAGAAAACATTTTTTTGTTTGACAAAAAAAAGTTTATTATTACCATCTCCTGTTGGCCAAAAACGTAAATAATCTTGTTTAAATTGAGATATTGGTGGTGGATCAAGTGGTGATGCCGTACATAAAGCAATTGCTATTAAATTTAAAATAGATAGAAATTTAAATGGTTTTACAATATTAAAACATACCAGGTGGTGGTTCATTATCGCTAAATTTATCCAAAAGTAGAATTTCAAAATGATTATATTCTATAATGAAATAAATAAAAAAAAGAAAATAATCTTTCCATCAATATAAAAAGTAAATAATGTAGAATTAAGATAGCTGACCTCGGATTACAAATTTTCGAAATTCCTATATAGGATGTCGTTTTCTAAATTTTGCGATTATTTTCACTAAAAAAATAACCGAAATTTAGATATTGTACGTCGAGCCGTACCTCCAAAAAATACCTATTCTCATCTCCTGAGTTTTTCGTAAAAAGTGATGATCGGGGGAGGGGGACGGGGAGGAGAGCGCCGCGAAAACTCCTGTACTTCCCCTCAGGGCATAGTCAAATCTTGTGAAATTTTTCGAGCGTTTTTGACAAAATATAGATATTATAGGACGAATCCGAGCCCAATCTGAACCTAATATGAACTCACACAGCAGTTATCAGTTCGGATAGTATTTTCGTAAGTCTGTAATGTAGAAGGTTCAAATTTTTATCCCTGTACTTCAACACTTCTTTCAAATCATGTTTCGTAAAATTATTCTAGATAAAAGAATAACTCATAAGTTTTAAATGTTGATTAGTTTCTATCGTTATCATATTAGTTTTTAATCAATGAAAAAAAAAATTTACTTTTATGTAAACTATATGGAGCTTGAAGACATAACGAATGATCAATATGTTGTGGTAAAATAAAAGATTTTTCTTTTAAATCAACTTTTGTTCCTTCTGGTAAACACCAATCTTCAGGATTTCTCTAGAAATTCAAAACAAAAATATTTTTAATTTTTTCAAGAATATAAACAATTCTTTCATAAAATCAATAATTACTAACCACACTATAATGTGGTGGAACAGAAACTCTTGTTTGCCAATAAACTAATAATTCAACAGGATCACCACCGCTTTCAATAAGTATTGTTGGAAAATATTGTGAATGATCACGTAATGTTAAATAACGTGTACCAATAGGTCGAAAATTTTTACTGAATAATGCAACACTCATTTCTTGTTCAAATACTTCTATTTCAACACCAATTGTATCACCTTTTCTACATTGATGTCCATGCATATTACCAGTATCTTTATGATTTGAATATAATTTTCCTGTATATGTGTTATATCCAACAGAATCATTAACAAGACCAGGTGCTTCATTTAATTCATGTTTTGATGATGCAATACCAATTGTTACTTGACATTGTTCACCTAGTGATAGAGTAAAATTTAATATAAAAACAAAATTACAAAACATAAATAAATATTTTACTAATATTTTCTAATTCAACAAAAAAGAAACGTCGTTCATATGTTAATGGTTTACGAAATTGAATATAATGTATTGTATTTTCAGTTTTTGGTATTGATACACGACATAAATGATCATCAACAGTTAATAAAACTTGTTCACTTGTACGAAAAAGATAATTTGATAAATCTTAAAATAAAATTATTTTAAACAAAAAAAAAAAAAGAATATTATATTCTTATTTTTACCTCGATCAACTCTATCTTTTTGATAGATTTCATAAGCTGGTCCTAACATTTGCTTATAAAGTCCTTGAAGTTTTGTTATTTCCTCATTTGTTAAAATATTTTTTTTTTCAATGGAAACTTTTGTTGCTAGAATACGAAATAAAAGGGTAAAAGAAAAACTTTAATACCTATTATATTACCATATGGTTGAAGTAAAACAATAGGAACAAAACCACCTTCTGGTTGTAAAACAAAAAGAACATCAACAATTAATTTATTAAACATAACATAAACAAGACATAATTGTTCAGCTTTATCATCTTCACAATTGTCATCATAAAAAACACCCCAACCAATTGTATTTCCAACTTTCACTAAAATTAATCATATAATTTCTTTTGAGTTTTCTATTAAGAAATTTAATATACTTTTCATTTTAGCAAACCATGTATAATAATCTTTCATTAACGTACATGTTGGTGTAGGTTTTAAAGGCTAAAAAAAGAAATGAAAAGATAATTCTATTTATTTTTCTATTATTGATGTTTGTAATGTTAATAAATTATGTAAATTTTCTTACTGAACAAGTAGCTAATCCAACACTGGCACCTTTACCATCTGTTAGTGATACTTCTTGTTGTGTAACAACAAAATAACGAAATTTTTTGCCTAATGGTATAGGTGATTGTACTGGTAAATCTTCTAATTTTGAACGATTTTCAAATAAACCTGTATGTGTATCATAAGTACCCATAGGTGCTCGAATCCATTGAGAAATTGGAATCTAAAGACAAGAAAAAAAAAGAAAGAGCTTTTTAATTAAATAAATAATTCAAAGAAAACCAACTACATACGTCAGTAATGGATGGTAATTGTTCAACAGCTTCCGGCCAAAGAATTGAGACATCAACACGACCACCAGAAAATGTTAATGTTGGAAAAAACCGTTCTTTATTTGATTCAAAATGATATCTAATTAAAAGATTGAATACAATTAGTGAAGATAAACAACATATAATCGGTTCTTGAAGAATCATCTTTATTTTTGAAAGCTTTTCTTTTCAAATAGACCTTTAAAAAAACTGTTTTGTTCATAACTAATTTCTCTTATGTTAACAAACTAATTGATATCTTTATTTTACATATATCTATGAACTATGAGATCAAACCGATCTTTTTCTTAGTTTCTCTAGTAAACAAATGTTCATAAACATTCGCCTTCATTTACATATGTCAATAAAAAGTACAAACACTATATTATTAAATGAAATTGCTTCAATGATATCATGAATAAAATTTTTTTTTCACTCTCTTCTATTCATCTCAATTCTTTTCTATACCCGAAAAGAAATAGTCAAAGTCGGAGATCAATAAACTTATTATTCATATAATTCAATAGACTTAAATAAATTGATTTTCATAGAATGTAATCAAGTTTTCCGCAAAAAAAGACAACTTGAATTGCAATCCTTTATTGAACATTACTCGTTAAACTTAGACTATATGTCTCGGAAAAAAAAACATATATAGTTATTATATGAAAAGAAAAGCACTAATTGAATTAATCTTATCTTATTAAATTTTTATTTCTTCTAATATTCCAAAACAAAAAAAAAATATTCGAGAGAAAAAAAAACCAGATCAATCATTTTATTTTTAAATACCTAGTTGCAACTGGAAAACTATCATAATAAAAAAGTGCTGTTGAAAGATATTGACCAAAATAAGTAACATAAATTGCAACCGTATTACCTAAACATAAATCTTATTTTCATCAAAAAAGAAAACATTAATTAATCAATTTACCTTTGCCATATTGAAGTCCAAGTGTATTTGCATGTACTTTCCATGATGTATATACTCGTCCTGTATTATTATGATAACCAAGAGAATTATTATATTGACCTAAAATAATAGATATCTATTACTTTAATCTAAATAAACATATCTATATTAACCTGCATGTGAATTAATATCTAATGGTGCAATTCCAACTGCTATGATTGCATTTGGATCTAAAAAAGAAATTGTTTTTTTTTTGTTTCATTCCAATATGTTGGAAAAAAAAATGATATATATATATGATTTCTTACCACATTTATGAACTTCAACAAGAAAATAAGGTGATTCAGGTGTAAGTGGTTGAAGTGATTGTATAATTGAAATTGTATCAAAATTTGCTGTTTTTTTATTTCCATATGATATATCAACTTTTTTTCCTTTAATTATTCCATTTGTTGTTGTTTTACTTTTAATTGTTATATCACCAACAACACGATAACGTGTATCAATTGTTGTCATAGTGTTTATAACGTTTTATAAACCAGACACAAAATGAAATTATCTATATATTAAATAATGAATGGATATATATGTAATGAAACTCGTTATAATAAATCATAGTATTTATTTCATAGTCCTACTAAATATCGATAATACTTTTGTCAATAGTAGACGTGCAAAATCTCTTGAAACGAAACGAGTTGGTTAGTTAAGAAATTCCGAGCAAAAAAAAAAAAGAAAACTATGTATATAACAGAAGAAGAAACAAAAAAAGAATTCTTATTAATAAATTGATCTCCAACATCTTTAGCTCTTAACTATAAATTGAATAAACATTTCATTTTCAAGTACACCATACATGAGAACATTAAAACAGAAACGTGCTTTTATCATTATTGAATAAACAAAAAGAAAAACAAGAAAATGCTCAAGCTCTACTCATTTAATAGAAGAAAAAAAAAGAAACGAAGAAAGATATTGCAGAAATGAAAAGTTGAGTGTTCCAAAAGCAAAAAAAAACACAACGAGCTACTATTGCTGCTCGAAGAGTGAGAGCTGTATACACTTTTTTTCTTTCGAATAGAATAAAAAAAGAAACATGACAACTATGATTCATTATGCTCATATGCATTGGTTATTTTTAATGCACAGATGAACAGATCAATGAGAGATGTCGTTCGTAATTGAATTATCGAAGATGTTTTCTTATGCATAATAAAATTATAAGGTTTTTAAAATGATGGCAGTTTCTACAGCATCGGATTTCAAGTATTTTTTAAAAAAATTTGATATTTTATGAGATTTTGTCGTGATAAAACGATAACATTTACCAAACGATTATTCTCTGGTTCAGATTTCTCAAGAAGTACAGGTCTATAAGAGGAATTCATGAATAGCTTTCAAAACACATTATTTGAAAAAAAAGTACGTTATTGATTGAGGTTCTGGGAAAAATAAAAAAAAATAATAATCCTATCAATCCTTGAATGGTACCATTCATCAATGACATTCAAAAAACAGGGAAGATCAGCAAAATTGCGTACATTAATCCTCATTAAAAGACTTATTTCCATGAATAATACGTGCTACACTTCATAGTAGTTAACGATATGCATTTTCATTTAAACGTAGTGCTCAATAGGATAGTGTGAGTAGGTTTGTCGATGTGATATAGAGTGAGGATTGGTACAGGTCTGCATTTATGAAGAAACGTTGATTGATTGAATATGGATTAGAAGAGGATGACTTGGTAGTTCTACGAGCATTTCGATTTTTACGTGGCATTTTTGCATACAAGTGATAGTTACCTTAAAAGACCACATCACTTCTAATAGGATTAAAGCACATTTCTGAGCACTACACACTGTAAAACTTTCGGCCTGAGTTGAGAATTCACCACATATTAGTCATTTAATACAAAAACACATTTGAACGAATAGGCTCTTTATAAAGAAATTTTTAACAAATGCAATATTTACCTGGATATCTTTTATGCATAAGTCCAACAACTAATTTATAAATTGTATTATTAATACATTTCTTTTGAAAAAAAAACAATCTGATCATACGATTTCTATTCTAAAGATGATCTCTTTGTGTAATCTATTAAAAGCAATGAATAGAAATAACAAGAAAAATACATTATGTTATAAAGGATCTTTGTTTTTATTTCTCTCATTAGTAAAATTACTAAAATTGAAAGCGATATGTAAATCTTGATAAATATTCAATCAATAAAGCATATTTCACAATATTTATAACTCAGAGAAAAATACTCAAACTTAAATAATATGTATGCGATACAATAATCTTTGCAAAAACAATGTCAAAATCTGTTATTCTACATTACCGACTTCTAAATCAAGGAAATCTTTTTTTTTCTGTTAGAAAGAGCAATGTTTGATCTACAAGATTTATACCAGACATATTTTTCCAGAATGCATCTGACGAGAACGACAAGCCTCACGATCAAACGCCTCCAAAAAAGTTCTTACAATTTCACTATTGATCAACAGCTTGTTTTTTGTTTTCTATCAAGTTTTTTTTAATTCGAAAGGAAATGAAAAAAAAAATATTGAAAACTGATTTTTGCAGTGTAAGGAGTGCTCTTTTCAATGATGTATCGGAAGGTAAATTTAGTCTTTGTTTTTATACCAAAAAATAGCTTTTTCTAAAAAAAATATGGAGTAGGTTACATGTTCTTTCCGTTTGCCGTTTGGTAACGATAAAAATAACAATGTTCGGTGAATTATTTTCCTTATTAAATATCTATGAGCTGATAATATTTCAAATAAATAACGGAAAAAGAACTCTATTCATGCATATATTCTGGAAATGATGAGTAATATTGTTTGCAAATTGATATTTCTTGGAAAACATTGTGTTTTATAAAAATTGCATTTCGAAAAATTTTGTTACTTATGTAGTTTAGAATATATCTAATAAATTTTGCTTAAGCGGATATTTATAGAATTTTTGATACGCTACATTTTGATGCATGACTTATTCGTGTAGTTCAAAATAATTGAAATATAGAGATCTTTCAAAGTAGAAAAATATTGCAAGCAGTTTTTAGATTTATTTGGTTTTTGAACTTTTCCTTTCCGTCAGACTCTTTCTGTAGAAAAATACATTTAATACAAAATGTGTAGTTCAGATATTGCTCTTTCTAACAAAAGAAAATTTTCTCAATTTAGAAGTCGACAATATAATGTAATACAATTTAAGATTTTTGTAAAAACTTTTCTATCAAATATTGGAGAAAATACAATATTCGTAAACATATTCATTTAATACTACTTTCTTTTAACTACATATTTAAATTAGTTTTTACATCTATATAATATAGACCAGTCAAAGTATAGCGTGATTTCAGTCATTGCATCAATCAGAATTTGATTAATGAGCAATTTCCTCTTTTCTTGTCTATTCTTCAGATTTTTGAACTACATCTATTTTTTTTTCAACTGAATAGCTATGCAAAATAATGTCATTGTATTATAATTGGATTAGTTTCCGATACAAGATTTTATATAGCACATTGATATGAAATGAAATATATTAAATCATAGAACTAATTCTATTGTAAACATTTTTTGAAAATCATAACTCACTAAATAGAAATTTATAAGATATAAACAATGTAAATATATGTCATTCATCGATGTTAAATTAATTTCAACATCTAAGATTTTAGTTTGCATGCAATTCAAATCACATTGTTATGTTTTGTTTTTTTTTTAAATAAAATATAGAAAATGAGATATTAAACATTTATGTCAAAGTATACATCTTTGTTATTATTCATTAATATTAATAATAATAAAGAAACAAAACATTCTATATAGCAATTATTTAATATTTCAAAGATCTATTTACGAATAAGTTTTTTTTTGTTTATAGATAAAAAAGAAAAAATAAAAATAAAAATAAATAATAATCTTATAGATGAATTATTCTTTTTTTTTTCAATGTTTTATTGATCGGTTGGAGGATTATTAATATTGATTGTGTCACCAGTTACATTGCTTTCATTCGAAAAACCTGATTTATAATTTCCTTTGATTTTGAATAATTGCATATAATGAGTTTTGCAATAAATTTTACCATCATTTGATGTAAAATTACCCGGTCTATAAATGAAAAAAAAAACATATGAAGATATTCATATGAAAAAAAAAAAATCTAAAATTATTTTCTCAAGTTCAAAAAACTCACTTGAGAACAGATTTACAATGTGCACATCGAAAACATGGTTTATGATATGCTTTATTATTAACCATTATTTTTTCTGTTGCATATACAGTTTTTTCACAAACAGTACATTTTGGATCCATTTTAAAAGTAAATATGTAGAAGAAAAAAAAAGTAAAAGATCTACGCAATTGAATACAGACTATTTTCTGTTCGTTGGTCTTTTTTTGGTTTTATGTATATTTCTTTTTTTTTTTGTTCTTTCCTTCGTTGCAACGAATGGATTGTACACGCAACAAATAACTGCGAAGTCTACAGTAGAATATCAATAAATGCAAGAAATTGCTTGAATAATGTTCTTTTACTATCGTTTCTGTCTAAGCCCTTTTTTTTTCCTGACAAATGACTTCTATTAGTATTAGAGATATTCTTTGCTTTCGTAGATATTTTTCCGATGATAGATATATAGCACCAATGGTTGGTTATCCAAATTTCACAATTGCTAATCGATAGATAGAGCAAAAAGTCGATAATATGAAAATTTTCAAAACTGCTCTTTAACAAAAAGAAAATCATTAGAACAAAAAAAAAGACACCTTGACATATATATACACACGTATTTGTTTTCACATACTTAAGACATCATCAATGTTTTTTTTGTTTTTTAGAAAATGTACATTTATAATTTTCTAGTATACGAGAAATAAAATTGAGTTCGATGAAGTCTTCCATTACTTACATTTTTCTTTTATCACTTAATCTATCATATTAAATGATAGAAATAGTAATGTGGAATGATATGAAACAGAAATGTAGCATTTTTTTTTTTCGTTCGATATTATGGCAAATAGATGATAAGATATTGATACAAATAACATAATGATTATAACTATGTGTCAATCATCAAATGTTAAACATTTTTTTAATGGAAATGTTAAACAAATAATCAATAGGATGAGCATAACTAATGGGTTTTTTTTTGAGAGTGATTAGTCAGTCATGCATGGATATCGATTTGTTTTGAAGACTTTTGGACAAAAATACTAAGTGAATGATAACATTATTATATTTATTATTAATAGATTTTCAGAAAATATTACGGATATATATGAAGAGAAAAAGTCATAAATGCAAAGTCGAATAACAAATAGTAGCTACATTACTCATTAATAATCAATATATCCGACACGAAACAAATAAAAACAAAAAATATAATTTAACCAGAAAAATACAACTTGTCTTTTCAATAATGTGTCCCTTGACGAAAATCTACCTATATTTGAGAAGAAATTATTAAAACAATTGTTGTCGTTTTTTGTCTTCCTCTCTGTATCTCCTTGTTAATAAATGTTTCTTTAATTCTCAAAAGAGTTACAAACAACAGTGAATATTTCTCTTTGTTTTTACTATGACTAGATTATTGAAACATAAAAGCATTTTTGCGCATTTGTGAGGATTATTTATATATATAAAGATATATATATATGTGTGTGTGTAAAAATACTATATCTAACCTTGATTTTGCTCTTGTTAATTTATAATCAAAGAAGAACTCCATTGATAACAGCATGAGAAGAACGATTTCTTAATGATGATGGTTGTATTATATGAAGTTTTATTAATAATTGAGTCCATAAAATTTGAAAAGAATTTTCATGATAAAAATTTGCATAAAGTAATACTAAAATAACAGTCACCATAAATAGAAGACCACCAATATACCATGAATCGAATGGATTTGCTACATAATATTTTTTAGTAGTTCGAATTGTTGATGCTATTGTAAATGTTTCATTATCGAATAAATATGATGATGATGATGATGATGTGTGCATTTGATAAATATATGTATCTTCTTTTTTTTTATTATGTAAAATATGATCAAAGAACTAATCGATTTTAATATGGTGATTCTTAATAGTTGTCGACAAAACGAATGCCAAGAGAAGAAGAAAAAAAATGACAACGAGTTGTTATCACGCTTATGTATTCTTTGTCTCTCTTTTTCTCTATTCTCGTTCTTCATTTGCATTGACTATAAATGTAGTACCCATAGAATAGGTCAGATAAGCATATGAAATTTTCCGGAAGTTCAGTTATTTTCTATCACAATATAAGAAAAGAAAAAGTGTAATATATTTTCTCAATGTTAATATTCATTATTCTTGTATATTTTTATTGTATTGTCTACCAATAAATAAAACAATTTTACTATATATATATATGTTATACATCGACAAAATCTACCAATATGCTTCATAAAAGAAAAAGTTCATAAGACTTTTTTTTTCTTTTTCTGTCTTTTTTAATAATACATTTTCTTTTTTTCATGATGTTGCCATTGTCATTATTATTATTATTATTATTATTATTTGATTAGCATCGGAGAAAAATAGGAAGATGAAGGTATGTTTAGAAAACAAAAAAAAACCGTAATAGCTGATCTCGAACGAGAATAATATAGAATGATTTGTAGTTCTATTTTTGTCAAATGACAGCCACATTAATTATCCAAATGATATAACTTATTCTATGGAAATTAGAATATAACATAGAATTATGAAGTATAAAACTTAAAACATCTATTATGTATGAGATAGTTTATTTCAATTATTTAAAAATTTTTGATTGACATAGTATTCTTCAATTTTTGAATAAATATTTTTATATTTTCAAATTATTGAAATAAATTTGTAAGAAAATTATCAGATAAAAACTATATCTTAATTATTAAAAAAATCAATCAGATTTATTTCGGTATATAAATGAAAATTGTACAAAGTAATCTTCTTCTTTTTTTTTTCTACCAAACAACCTTGAAGGATAAAGGATTAATTATTAATATTCTGTAAATACATTGCAAGAATATCTTCAAAAAAAACAAATCTTCTTTTCATTTAATGGTAGAATAGAATCGTATGATAATAATAGTATTAGAAGATTTTTAAAATCTGAATTTCTTTTTTTTTCTTAAGAAATCACTTTAAATAAATCTGTTTCGCTTGATTGATTTTTTTTTGTTTTTCGTCAAATTGTTATGTATTTTATTTTATCACACATTATTTATACGAACATTTCTACAACGTTAAAAACAAAAAGAAGTACACAAAGAAAGACGGAAACTATATTTATATATGAGAAAACTTCTTTTTGTTTTTTGCTTATGATTATGATTAATTAACATAATACAAATCTTGTATAGGATGATCCTTTGTATGTTTTTTTGTTTTGACTATTACAAAGAAAAAAAAAAGAAAAGAAACGAAAAGAATCTTAATAATAGTCGAGGTAAAATATTTTGCACATATATTAATACATATATATATATATAAGTTTTAAACCAATTCGAGAAATACGAGTTGATCAACAAGAAAACAATCACTGGTTTTTTTAACAAATGCTGTTAGACCTTGAGTAATTTTTGTATCATCTAATGTTGGATCTGTTCGTTGTGCACTACGTTGTTTTACTAAATAATTATGAACTTTTTCAAATGTTTCTTCACCTAATGTTTGAATTGCTTTACTACAAAATAAAAAATAAATAAATTTTGCCAATTAAAAGATTTATTATTATTATTATTATTTATAATAAAAAAAAAATATTATTTACGTTCTTAATGATGTAATTTTTCTATTTTTTGCAAGTGGACCATATGCATCACAAATCGGATTATCTTTTAATGTTGAATTATTTTCATCAATTGTTTTGTTTGTTAAAGATTTTTGTTTTGTTGAATTTGAAATTGTTCTTGATGATGTTATATATTTTGATGGTCGAATTTGATTAGATATATTACGTGGATCAATAGTACGACTCATTGAATTTATTGTTGAATTTTTTGATGCAGACATTATTCGTTGTCGATTTTGTGTTGTTTCTTGACCATTAAAACTACGACATACTTGATCATAGAATTCTTTTTCATCATTTTCACGTGTTGGACTATAATCATCTTCTTTTTCAAAATCATCATAAGCTTCATAATATTGATTTGTTAATGTTGGATCAATTGGTAAACCATCTTCATCACCAAATTTTTCAGCTATTTGTCTATAAGTTGTACGCATTGGTGTTATTGGTCGATCTTCATTATTTTTATTACGAATAGATTTATTAAAATCATTTGGACGTTCGGTATGCGTACGAACAGTATAAGTTTCTTCATTTGAATATTGCTTGGAATCTGAGAAAATAATTATAAGAAATATCAATTGAAAATATTCTGTTTCTATTGTATTTTAAACTGATTTTTATTGAATCAGTTTAAAATAAAATAAGAAGAGTTATGTAGTTTGATAGAGAAATTTCTATAGCAGATATGATGTACTGATTGAGATGTAAAGGAACAATCAAAAATGTTTTCATTATATAATATTCTAGTTATATAAAGTTAGTTGAAATGTTTTATATTCGGTCGAATTACAAACAATTGTCTCTTATTGTCGGTTGATTCTATGACATCTAAATGTAAAATTTTCGATTTTTTTATTTATTACGTCTCTAGTAAACCTCGAAATCGAGGTACATTTTTTATTTTCCACTCTGACTTGTACCAAGCTAATTATTGCGCATACTCGTCAGACGAATCCATTTTCTCCTCACGCTTCGATTAGCACTAATTCTCAGAATATTTATTTTTGTTGCAAAAAAAAAGGTTTCTGCACTATGGAACTCAACAATCACCTCGACAATTTATCGTTAATAACCGTCATGTGTTTCATAATAAGGTCATGCAATTCCTAGTATTTGTAAAAATAGCATAATAAGTCGACCTATTTATTAAACTAAAAAAAGTAACACGTATGTTTGCTTATATTCTCACTTCATAAAAACTATTATTTATTAACAAGAACTTTTCATGAATAAATTATTTGTCGATCATTTCAAAGAGCTAGATAAATTAATATTTGTAGCATACGTGATTAATACTAACCTATTGGGAATACTGCTCTACTTCATTAATATTTATACTATTTAGTGTAATAGATACTTTAATCAACTTTGTTTGAATATGAAAGTAGCACTAGACAAAATACATTGTTGTTTGTTTTTATTCATTTCCTAACAGAGTACTTACAAACTACTCGTATAGGAGAAAGTTTTTGATTGTAATTAGTTGTAGCATGTACAAATCTTTCTT